TTCCGTAGAAATTTCAGAAAAAAAAAAAAAAAAAAAAAAAAAAACAACTTTTATGAGAGATTTTTGCTATAGGGCACTTGCACTACCCGAAGAGACAGAGAGACAGAAAGTGAGGAATCATTCCCCGGGGGATGGTCATGCTGCAGTCCCTTTTGAGAGATCTCCTCTCTGGATTTTGGGCATGCATGTACACATAACCTGGCGTGAATATTAAGCTACCAGGTCTGGGACTGGAACAGCAGTAGACTACATGCAAGTCCAGTGAAGTAACCATTACACCAATTTAAATAAATTTAAACATTAGAGAGATGTAATATACATGGATAAAAAGATTCAATAGCATAAAGCTATCAATCTCTGGAAATAATTGTAAACTCAGATGCAGTTCCAGTCAAAACCCCCAGCAGGGACTCTGTCGAGAAGCCTGCAGGCCCAGATAATGCAGTGCTCTTTGGGCTGGCCCACGTGAGGGCGTCCCACGTTCACTTCGCTACCTTCCTGAACATACTGGCCACACGTGTCCCAGACTCTGGAGCTAAAGCTGGAGTGAGATGCAGCATGAAAGACCTCACTGGGGAGCTTCTCTCATTCCCTCTCTCTCTTCACCCTCCTCATGGAAGAAAGAAAAAAGAAACTTTAAAAAATGAAGTAGACTGGGGTCAGTAGGTAGCATAGTGGTTAAGGCATCGACCATGGTTCAAATCCTGGACCTGGCAGCTTGAGGGTGTGTGCGTATGTGCACAAAATCCCAAGAGGAGAATGGAGGAGAAGGGATTGCAACATGGCCACGCCCCCCCAGGGAGCAATTTCTCACTTTCTGTTTCTCTGTCTCTCTCTGTATCTCCATCAAGCACACTCTATAGCAAAAACTTCCCTAAAAGAATAAAATATAATAAAATAAACCAAAAGGATTTTTGTTTTGTTTTGTTTCATTTGATTCATGATAGAGCATGTTCACACACAAAAGAAGTCAAGAGTTTTTAAGGAACCTGACAACGATGCTTTTATGGATGGCCCAACAACCAAGAATAGGAGATACAAATTATCTTGCCGACAAAAATCAAACTATTATGAGACTAAACTCATTAGGAAAGGTGATATTAGACTGGAGATACAGAAATTGACCTATGAAATGGAATAGAAAGTCTATATAGGTAAATACAGTGTATCAAAAAATTTACACGGAAAATCATGGGGGGAGGAAACTGACAAAGTGATACTGGAAAAATTGCTGAGTCATGTAGAAAAATATTCCTACCTTACACCATGAAAAACAGAAATTATTCAAATAAATAAGCCTGGGTATATAGAAAGCAAATTTCAAAACATTGAGGAAATGTCTTTTTAGCATTTATATAGGAAAGTATTTTTATTTTTTAATTGCCAGAGGGAGATGTCTGTCGTCACCAGAAAGAGAGCAGACAAGGGGAAAAGCAGCCACAGTGGGCGTGGTCACCACAGCCCCTCTCTTCTCTCCCATCTCTCCGTCTTACTGGACTTCAAGCATGGACACATATGTGTCTGGGTGTCTTTCAAGTTGCTGGAGCTGGGATGTGAACCACGGTCAGCCATGGGAGACCTGGTTCAGCTGACCACTAGGCTACAGGGCTAGCCCAGAAATTTTTGAAAAAAGACTCAAATGAGCACAGAGAAAGATGAATAAATTTGATGATATATTAAATGTTGAATATTCTATGAATAAAAAGACATTGAAACAAACTGAAAGATCCAGTCATCCACTAGAAAAAAGATTATTTTAAAATTGATTAAGTGTCAATAAATTAAGATCCATAAAACCTAAATAACTTTCAAAATCTATAAGAAAGAAACAATTCAAGAGGAAAACTGATGACAAATCCTCATAATAAGAACCTTACCTAAATAAGAACCAATAATATAAAAAATTATCACCAGTTATAAAAAAATGCATATTAAAACCATAATAAAACATCACTTGGTGCCCAAAAGATTGTAAAAGACATTAAAAAACCCTGACAGTAGAAAATGCATGTAAATGAGTTAAAATTCTCATAAATTACTAGAACAGTGCAAATTGCTACAGCCATTTTAAGAGTTATTTGGCAAAATATAGACATGTAGAATATGATTTAGCAGTTTATTCCTATGTAGATAATCTAGATAAATACACATGCAAAAATCAGTATAAGAATATGCATAGCAAGTGCTGATAGCATAAAAGGAAAAAACTTAATCTTGGCGAGCAGAAGAATAAATAAATATATTGTGGCATAGTCAAACATCTGAACATTATACAGAAGTGCAAACTAATCCAGTCATCCACTAGAAAAAAAGATTATTTTAAAATTTAAGTGTCAATAAATTAAGATCCATAAAACCATTCATAGACCTGTGTTGATATATTTTAAACACCTAAAATTAAATGCAAGAACAGTGGATACATACATGTCATGTGTGTGTTATACACACGTGTGCTCACACACAAACACATTTATAATACTGTCTCGTCGGTGCCATTGCCCATAACAAAACATCACAGACTGGGTGGCTTAACCAGAGTCTATTTCTCATAATTATGGAGGCTGGAAATCTGAGATCAAGAAGCCAACATAAACAGGTTTTTCTGTGATCCGTACTGAGCTTCTCATCTTCTATTGCAAAAAAGAGAGAGAAGGAGAGGGCGAGCAAGCACGCTCCCTCGTGTCTTTTCATACGAGCACTAATTCATTTGTGGGAGTTCCACCCATGACTCACTGACCTCTACAAGCTCCACCTCCTAAAACCATTACACTGGAGGTTAAGATTTTAATACATGCATTTTGAGGGAGACACATTCAGATTATAGCAAATGCCCAAAAAATAACTATATTTTTGAAGAATATGTACATTCTTGGTAAAGTACAGAAGTATCTTAGGAAATAGTAAACAAAACGTGAGGAAGTGGCAGTGACACGGATTTGGGAAAGGACACATAAAGGGCTGACTCTGGTTAAGCACTGTGCATTGGGAGCCAGATCCCACATGGCCAAGCATGGTCTGAACCCCGAATCCGGCTGCTTTAAAAACACAGCATGTACATGTATGCACTTTGCCAGGATCCCAGTGGAATGGAGGAAAAAGGGTTGTGGCATGACCACGCCCCATTGGGTCTCACTTGCTCTCTCAAAATAAATAAACTTAAAAAAAACCTTCCCAAATAGACTATAAATATCTCAAAAAATGGTACTGTGTATGTCCTCAATACTAATGCCCAGGGAATAAATTAATAATATTTATTTAAATTGTTCAAGCAGTATTTTGGCTAGTGCTACACATAATACAAGAGCTTGCTTCGATTCAGAGGAAAGATTTATTGAAATCAAAGGGGCCTCAAAAAAGCCTAATACTCACTCTGATACTATTTAAAGAGCAAGAGATGAAGAGAATATAAAGGAAATCGAGAAAGATG